CCAACAGTCTGTTCGGGCTACACGAGGGGTCTTTGTCCTTGTTTTTGTCTGTTTTTCTGTGCGTGTCTCTGTGTGTGAGGGAGACGGTTAGTACTGGGCCTCCCCTAGATCGACTTAGCCTTAAACGAGTACCTGGTGCGCTGTGTAAACGTCGCCACTGGGGAGACAAAGGCAGTCGGGCGTGGTGATGGCCACCCACCCCCTCGTGGGCCGTGCCGGCATCTTCATAGGTGATCTCTAAAGCACTTGCCACACACAGCCTGTAAGAGGCTACACGGGGGATCTTTGTCTTTGTCCTGTAAGAGAGACGCGGATCAGTGGGGTGTGACTGCTGCCTCCGCTGTCTCCCCTCGCGTGCAATCCCCGGGATTAGGGAGCGAGGGGAGTGAGAGGGGAGAGGGAGGGGAGAGGGTAGGGAGAGAGATGAGAGAGAGATAGGAGAGAGAGGGGAGAGCGACAGGAGAGATTGGAAAGAGAGACGCGATCGAGGCGAGCGAGAGGGGAGAGAATCTGCACGTGCGCACATATTTGTCACGTGCGCCCAGGTATGTACTCACGTGAGCGCACGCGCGCTCATGCGTGTCTCCTGTATGTGCATGTCACGTACATGGTCAATCAGTCACAAGGAACTCGCTGATCTTGACAAATCGATCCCTTAGCCACGTCGCGCCAGGAGGACACGGGCGCCCCCTGCTGGCACATTGGCTCGATTCTCGACTCGGGCACATTTCTGTGTGGAGTTTGTGCCCCCCACCCCCCCCCCCCTGTTTTGCAGAGTGAGCGTGTGAGTGGACAAAGTCCTATAATCGGTAAGCACCTCCGGCAGGTGAGGCTGCGTTGGCTGGATCACGTAGCCCGCATGTCCAGCCACTACATGCCCAAGCAGCTTTTGTTCGGCCAGATAAAGGGGGCTAAACGGGCACGTCACGGGCCGGAGTAGAGGTGGAATGATGCGGTGCAGGAGGATGTGCAGCTGAGTGGATTTGCCAATGACCGGTACCAGCGGTGTCAAGATCAACCTCTGTGGAGGAGAGTCGGGAAGGCCGCTACTGGGCAGTTGGGAGGCAGTCGCCCTCCAAACAACAGCGGAGGGCGGAGGAGCAACGCTCACAACAACAAATAGGGAGCACAGTTCGTGCATCTGCCACTTATCTCAGTCAACCCATGGCATATTTATCTGTCCCGTGACCTGTCAGCGAGCCTTCGACAATTCACATGGCCTCAAAGTGCACTTAGCCTGGCACAGTGCGCCGTGGTGACATCACCGCTACTTCGTGGCAAGCAGCGCCAGTGGAATTGCTATCGGCCAAATCACATCCCCACATGGTGACCTAAAATTTCCTGCAAATCTCTCAACTGGGATTCCACATCAGAAGCAGCAGCAGCAACATTGCCACTGATACTGTGATAAACCCGACAGGACCCTCCTGAACACGAGTCCCGAGACTCAAGTGAGGCTTTACTGGGTGAACGAGCAGAATGAAAATCATAAAAATTATAATCCGTGCAGGGTTGGTCACGGAGGAGGCAGGAACACTCGGGAGTGTTTGTGCACAGAGGTACACCACTTGGATACAGATTGTACTGAGTGTGCTTCTTAACACCATCATCATCACTCTCGTTAAACAGTTGCGAAGATCATCCTTTCGCCCACAGAGAGTTGATGGGCCAGGGAATGGAGGAGAGATTTAACCCCATCTTATCAAAGCCGCATATATGTTATATTTATAGCGTGTGTCCACATGTCACCCCCTCTCGATACCCGATCTACCTCTAGAATGTTGGTTACTATTTCACCCCCCCCCCCAGAAAGAACAAAGCCATACCCTCCCTCTAGGTGGGGGGGGGGGGGTACCGAAAATTCAAATGTTGTTCTCCCCATTCCGAGACTTCTGCAAGTGCTGGACAGCTCCCTTCGTCTTCCCCCTCGTGCGGTTTGTACGTCTCCCACCCCTCTCCTTAGAAATCCCCGGCGCGTTATACCGGATTTGTGTGCGTATACTTCAATACAAAACATACTAAAAATATAATAAAAACTGTTGCAAAGATCAAAAGCCCCAAAATGCACAACGTAATACATATACATGCGTATATGTTCGACGACACACAGCTGATCAGCGAGCCCACCGCTACCACCGCACTACCGGCTGCCACTATATACATCTCATCAGCGATCCTGCCACCACCGCACTACCGGCTGCCACTACATACAGCTCATCAGCGAGCTCATAGCCACCACCACACTACCGGCTACCACCACACACAGCTCATCAGCAAGCCCACCCCCACTACCGCACTGCTGGCTTCCACTCCACACAGCTCATCAGGAACCCATCGCCATCACCGAACTGCCAGCTTCCAATACACACATTTCATCAGCGAGCCCTCCACCACCACCACACTACCGGCTTCCACTACACACATCTCATCAGCGAGCCCATCGCCACCACCGAACTGCCAGCTTCCAATACACACATCTCATCAGCGAGCCCTCCACCACCACCACCACCTCACTACCGGCTTCCACTACACACAGCTCATCAGCGAGGACACCAGGTGCACGAGTGGAGGAGATTCCTCCTGTGGGCTCTTGCGGCTACGAACACCACGGCCATAGAACCTCGCACTGCTACACATACAGGTGAAGACGTGGATGGGTAAGTAGGTAACTTGGTGAGTGGTTGGTGAGTGGGGGAGTTGGTGGGCGTGTGAGTAGGTTGGTAAGTGGATGAGTGGGCGAGTTAGTGAATGGATTGTTGAGTTAGTGGGTGAGTGAAGGAGTGGATGGGTGAGTGGATTAGTAGGTGGTTGAGTGAAGGAGTGGGTGGGTGAGTGGAGTAGTGGGTGGGTGAGTGTAGTGGGTGGGTGAGTGGAGGAGTGGAGTAGTGGGTGGGTGAGTGGAGTAGTGTGTGGGTGAGTGGAGGAAGTGGATAGATGAGTGGAGTAAGTGATTTTAGAAAGTTTTTCGGTTTGGCCATGTTTGTTTGTTGTAGTACAGAGTTAGACTGATGGCCTTAATCTCAGTTGTCTTGTGGTTGTTGTTGTTTGACTTGCATCCCACTGGGATTTTTGCACAGTGTTGGTGTACGGTGCTTTTTCTGCAATATTTTGCTATATTTTCTTGGATTTTCTGTTTGCACATAGTCACTTTAAGATGTTTTCTTGTTCATGTTTTTGTTTTTTGTTTGTTGCGGTTGCACCCGATTCAAGAGCCGAATGGCTCACAGGGCAAAACATAATAAATTAAACTTGAAACTTGAGTGAAGGCAGGGGGTGGTTGAGTGGTGGAAGTGGGTGGGTGAGTGGAGGAGTGGGTGGTTGAGTGGAGGCAGTGGGTGGGTGAGTGGTGGACGTGGGTGGGTGAGTGGAGGAGTGGGTGGGTGAGTGGAGTAAGTGGGTGAGTGGAGGCAGGGAGTGGTTGAGTGGAGTAGTGGGTGGTTGAGTGGAGTGGTGGGTGGGTGAGTGGAGGAAGTGGGTGGATGAGTGGAGTGGAGGAGTGGGTGGAGTAGTGGGTGGGTGAGTGGAGAAGTGGGTGGGTGAGTGGAGAAGTGGGTGGTTGAGTGGAGTGGAGGAGTGAGTGGAGTAGTGGGTGGGTGAGTGGAGTGGGTGGTTGAGTGGATTAAGTGGCTGGGTGAGTGGAGAAGTGGAGTGGGTGAGTGGAGGGTGTGGGTGAGTGAGTGGAGGAGTGGAGTCGGTGGGTGAGTGGAGAAGTGGGTGGGTGAGTGGAGAAGTGGGTGGGTGAGTGGAGTAGTGAGTGGGTGAGTGGAGGAAGTGGGTGTGTTCTATCTACAATTGACCAACTCTCAAAGAAATTGAATGGCGAAATCATAACTGAATCTCCAACAGTTTATCTTCATTTGGCCACACGAAATATGGAAAACCAATATGCTGACCACACACGGTCAGACGGATTAAAACAAACCACGTGCAGCTTTTGTTGAACCAAATGCTGCGAGATCACGGTCTTCCAAGGAGGCTGATGGGATGTGAAAAACACTTTTTGCACGTGGAGAGACAAACATGGGGAGGAGGCGAACGATGTGTTTTTTCAGCTCTGATCCGACACGAAGGCATCAACTCTACCACGTCACCTCCCGTCTCACTTGCAAGCCTCATCATGGCTGCTGAGGCGGGGTGGTTTCTCTTACATGCGACACGGCTACCGTGGACGACGTGGGGGAAATCTAACGTGGAGAAACTCACCCCGCCACTCGGGACAGCCATGACACCAACACCCCCAGCTAACAACAACCCAAGCAATGGGCGAATACACAACACAGGATGGCGTGGCTGCAGCGGGTGGTCGCGTTGGCTCTACAGCCGTGCTATTGCTGGCAATGTCGTGGTGCCACGGGGCCCGTGGTCCTGTGCCATGGGGCCTCGCCCCTGTGCCTGTGAATCCCACAAACAACGGCCGGGCACAAAATGGCGGCGCTGGTCAGTGCCTTCACTCCTTGCGGCCTCGTGCGAGCCTCAACCTGCGGGCTTTGCGGGCTCCGTTCGTCAAATGTGCACTGCCAAGTGTCGTCCCACGCTTGGGAGACGTGAACGACTGCTAAATGGTGCCGTTTATTCGCTCCAATATCTCGGCGAGGGCAAAAAAGTGACGGCCATTGGGCACCAATGCAAACGCCTCTCTTTGCCATTTGGGTTCTTGCTCCCTTCGATCACGTGACCGGGCACGCTGCCCACCGTGTGATTGGTTGCTCGGGAGGGCGGGGGGCGGAGGGAAATCACGTGATACGAATTACTTGCCTCTGATTGGTCAGCCTGGGCTTTGAGTTTGCACTTTCCGGGGCAGAGAGTTTGCATTGGGAGAAACCAAGTCAACCCCTCACGGGGAGGGGGGGGGGGTATTGTGGTCTGTGTGCCGGGGGTGCCGAGTATTGGGTAACTTTGGCTGCAGGGACTTGGCCACCCCTTCCTATCCGGACGACTTAGTCTGGTCAGGGCCGACATATAGAGGCAGCGCGGCCGCTCGCCCTCACAACGAGGGAGTTTGTGAAGCGGGAAGGTGGAGACGTTAAGGGGATCCTGGCCACGGTATCGAGGTCTAACCGGGGGTCTAACCGTAGTATGACTGGGTTCCCACAGAGCTCCCGTGTCCTCTGTGCAACAGGAGAAGGATGCACAGGGGTCGGACGGAGCAGGTGAAATGTGACCACGACCCCTCCCCGCGCACAGCGGACACTGCAGGTAAAGGTGAGTGCAAAGGTGCGTTTGCTAATGGGGTTATGCATGGTGTTAGGAGGGGTTGGATGAGGTGTGCATGCATGAATGTTGTTCTGCGTGGTGTGTGTGTGTGGTGAGTTGGGTGTGTGTGTGTGGCGTGTGCATTGCGTGCGTTGGGGGGTTTTGTACGCAGTAATAGATCATCGCTAACAGAACGTATACCACGAAGAGTCTGGGAAAACGCTGTATGGGTGATATTTCTCTGCATCGGGTGTGTGTGTGTACGTGGAGGTGTCTATGCTTGAACTTTGTGAACGAGATATGTGTACATTGGTGGGTGTGATGCGCGTGTCTGGGTGTGACACCCACTCCACACACACGCGGGGGAGGGGGGGGTATGAGGTGTGCCTGTGTGGCGTGTGAGGTGTGTGGTGCTTTGTGTGTGTGTTATGCACGGTGTGTAAGCGTATCCACCCATGATACAACGTTTTTATTCTAAAAGTTTGTTTGCCACAATCTGTCACTTTCTCCCATCACCAGCCATGCGCAACTCCAATGCTGGATGAAGGCAGATGCCAGTGGGATTTTAGCAACGAATGCAATGGATTTTAAGAAACCTGTCCCCAATGTTTCACCTGCCGTGCCGGGAGATGGAATTGAGCACAGTGACCTCTGGATTGCAAGGGCAGCGTGCTCCACTACCCCAGTGTCCCTCTAAGTCTGTGGGTCTCTGTGTGCGTAAGTTTATGGGTCTGTGTGTGAGTAGGTCTATGGGTCTCTGTGAGTAAGTCTATGGGTCTCCGTGTGAGTAAGTCTATGGGTCTCTGTGTGCGTAAGTCTATGGGTCTCTGTGTGAGTGAGTCTATGGGTTTCTGTGAGTAAGTCTATGGCTCTCTGTGTGAGTAAGTCTATGGGTGTTTGTGTGGGTAAGTCGATGGGTCTCTGTGCGAGTAGGTCTATGGGTCTCTGTATGAGAAAGTATATGGGTCTCTGTGTGGGTAAGTCTATGGGTCTCTGTGTGAGTAAGTCTATGGCTCTTTGTGTGAGTAAGTCTATGGTTCTCTGTGTGCGTCTGTGGGCCGGTGAGTAAGTCTATGGGTCTCTGTGTGCGTCTGTGGGCCGGTGAGTGAGTCTATGAGTCTCTGTGTGAGTCTGGGTCTCTGTGTGAGTCTATGAGTCTCTGTGTGAGTCTATGGGTCTCTGTGTGGGTTTATGGGTCTCTGTGAGTCGGGTGGGTCTACGCTGCTCATCACCTCCCCCCGCTGTGACGGCTGCTGCTGGAGTCTCGGATAAGAAGGTGAACGAGTCAATTGTATTTACTGCTCGAGACCCCGTGGTCTGTGTGTGCGGCAAATCGGTAATAACATACATTTATTTATTAATTTAACCGGGTTTATTGTGCAGTTAGGGTTGTTTTTGAGACCATAGTCACATATCCCAGCTGTTGAGAATATGGGTTACGGGGCTATATGGCTCTCTTTCAGAGGCGACCTGCCCAATGAAGTGGCTTATGTGGGATTGTCGAGCAGACAAATACACCACAAAAGCACGTATTTTTTTGTTTAATGTGGAGGGAAAAACCGGAGGACCTAGAAAAATCCACGCTACCATGGGGAGAACACCTCGTCACGCCCGTGCCCTGGTGAGGGGGGTCTCAGGGGTTCAGGAAGGGGACCAACAGGCAGGCATATTCACACTGGCACACACGCACGTACACATGCACGCGCATGTGTACAAACATCACCCGTATAACCTTTAGCAGACTGTTGGGGGCATGTGCTGTTTGCGAATAGCACATGCGAAGGACGGAAAAGCACACGAGGGGGGTAGGTGGCCCAACACGTGTACACACACATACACGTGTACACACACATACACGTGTACACACACACAACAAAGACAAAGATCCCCGTATAGCCTTAACAGACTGTTCGGGCAAGTGCTGTTAGCGAGCACCTATGAAGGCCGCACACATACACGTGTACACACACACATGCACGTGTACACACAGATGCATAGAGATAGACGCATGCACAGGTGTGTGTGTGTTTCTGTGTATTTGTGAGCCAGGTATATACACACACACGCGTGTACTAAGGTACACACATCCACAGGGGTGTATATCTGGGTGTGTGCAAGTCTGTGCACCCAGGTATTTTCACCTGCTCCCTCAGGTACACACACACCTGTACACATCCAGTTACTCTCGCACCTGCTCCCCCAGGTACACACACCCAGCCTCCGCACGCTCACCCACGTGCCCTTGAGCACATTCTTGTTGTTGCTGTCTGGGGAGTGGGCAGATCGAAACTTGTGGGTGCTCACCACAGGCATTCTTCCCACTGCGGGCGTGGGTGCGGGCGTGGATGCTTGCGTGCTGTTACTCCTGCGGTTACGCATGGCGCCTTTGCATGAGTTGAGTTTGTCAGACATCTCATTTAACCCATTGCACCTGGGTCTGTCCCGTGACCCGCCAGAGAAGCGAGCCGTCCACACGTCACGTGATGGCCTGCACCTAGCCTGGTACAAGTGATGTGGTAACATCGCCGGCAACTTCATGGCGAGGCTGTTGTGTGTTGTAGTGTTGAGTGTGTGGGTTGAACGAGGGGAGCGGTAGTGTAGCGGTTAGTGCGTTGCGCTACGAACCCGGGCATCCGAATTCGTTTCGCGCTCATGGCCAACACCAGTGTCGGTTATCTGAACGGGTCCTGGGCCTCCCCTAGGTCGACTCGGCCTCAAATTAGTACCTGGTGCGATGTGTGAACATCATCACTCGGGAGACAAAGGCGTCGGGGCGTAGTGCTGGCCACCCATCCCCTCGTGTGCCGTGCCGGCCTTCATAGGTGCTATTCGCTAACAGCACTTTCCCCAATAGTCTGTTGAGGCTATACGGGGAATATTAGTCTTTGTTTTGAATGTGTATTAAGGTGAGCAAGTGATTTATGGGTGTGCGAGTGCAGTTCTGTTCCCGAGTGAGTGAGTGTGGTGACGTGGTGGTGGTGGTTTCTGCTCTCTAAGTCGCATGGTGATTGTAACAGGATCCGTGAGCAGATGCGACGATTTTTCACCCAGGGAGAGCCTCATCGAGTCTCATGACTCTTTTAAGGAGGGTCCTGCCAAGTGGTCGAAATAGGGGGGGGGGAGGGAGTGATTGCCATTCCTGTGTAATCTCAGTTTGCGGGAAAACGTTGGATTCTTGTCGCCGACACACAATGGCCTACACTTGCTAATGATGTCATGGGAATCTTTATCGTCCACTGCGAGTGGAGCACTGTTATGGTTTTACAACCGCAGCATTAACCAGTGGGGCCGTTGCATTCGAACCATGAACCTTGGCAACGAGCGGCGATCGCCCCCCCGCTGCGCTGCGTCACTGCCCCACTGCCCCCGAGTGTCAAGACTCGGTGTGACGCCGGGTGACGCGGTGTGACGCCGGGTGACGCGGTGTGACGCCGGGTCACGCGGTGTGACGCCAGGTCACGCGGTGTGACGTCGGGTCACGCGGTGTGACGCCGGGTCACGCGGTGTGACGCCGGGTGACGCGGTGTGACGCGGTGTGACGCGGGGTGACGCTGGGTGACGTGGGGTGACGCTGGGTGACGCGGTGTGACGCGGTGTGACGCTGGGTGACGCGGTGTGACGCCGGGCTACCCTGTGTGACGCCGGGCTACCCGCCGCACCGTCTCCGGCGTGGCGCCCATGCCGCTCTCCGCATGGCGTGGGGGGGGGGGGGGACCACCCCAGTGAAATGAGAGAGTTTAATAACGAGAAGTGCTTCACTCGAGTCGAGCCCATTGAGCTAAGGACGCTGTTTTTCAAGGGCAACTCGGCCACGGCAAAAACGTTCCATCTCGACACGGTGCACAGTTTGTTGTTGTTGTTGTTTACTAAAAAGACACTCAATGAAATAGATGGTGTTCAACAATTACATTTTCACTTTGACGTTTTGCCGCGCACACGGATCACGTCTTAGAGCGGTCAACACGGACGAGTCGAGCTTCTTCTTAGCTGAGACATGGGGTGGCAGCTGTCACAGTGGGGGGGAATGGTGACTCGCACGGAGAGCCACAGACTGGAATAGAGGGGCACGGACACCGTGGTGGTGCGCTGCACTCGCAACCCAGAGCACTCGGGTTCGATTCCATCTCCCGGCACGGCAAGTGTGACGGTGCGGACAAGTTTCAGACGTGACCGCCCACGTATTGGCAAACGGTTGTGTGGATAGTGGTGTGTGTGTGTACGGTTAGTGAGTTGTGTGGTTAGTGGGTTGTATGGGTGTGGGTTGTGTGTGTGTGGGTAGTGATTGTGTGTGCGTGCGGTTAGTGGGTTGTGTGGATAGTGGTGTGTGTGGTTAGTGGGTTGTGTGGGTGTGGGTAGTGATTGTGTGTGCGTGCGGTTAGTGGGTGGTGTGGGTAGTGGTGTGTGTAGTTAGTGGGTTGTGTGGGTGTGTGGTTTAGTGGGTTGTATGTGTGTGTGTGTGGTTAGTGGTGTGTGTGGATAGTGGTGTGTGTGTGGTTGGTGGGTTGTATGTGTTTGTGGATAGTGATTGTGTGTGTGTGGTTTGTGCGTGGATAGTGATTGTGTGTGTGCGGTTGTGTGTGTGTGGTTAGTGGTGTGTGGTTAATGGTTTGTGTGGATAGGGTTGTATGTATGTGTGTGGTTAGTGGATTGTGTGTGTGGGTGGTTAGTGCGTGTGCGCGAGTGGTTTGTGGTTTGTGTGGTGGTTCATCGTGGAACGGTGGCACAGTGGTTTGCGCACTGTTCCAAACCCGGCGATCTCAGTTCGATTTCTGCCCACGAACAACATCGGTGGCATGTATCTGCACCTGCCATGGGTATCCCCTAGGTAGACTCAATCTTAAATACTACCTGGGTATGGTGTGTAAGTAACAGTACTAGGGAGACAAAGGTGGCCGGGCGTTCACTTGCCCCAACAGTCTGTTAGAGCTATACGGGAGGATCTTTGTGTACGCGTGTGTGCTTAGTCAATGTATGTGCGTGTGTGGTGATGGACACGTGTGTCTTTAGTGAATGGTTTATGAGCGCGTTCGTGCCAAACCGTATCCCGCAAGCCTGTTTTCTCATCCCGGTCTCATTCTCTCTCCACCGCAGGAATGTGTGTGCGTGTCTGGTTGCGCGTGCGTTTGCATGCGCACGTGTACGTAGGGTTCTTTTAGATGCGATGTAATGGTAATTGAACGGGCGCGGCACGGGGCGAGAGAAGAGATGGACTTATGCGGTACAGGATGTGGAGTTAATTGGACTTGCCGATGACCGGTACCAGCTGCGTCAAGATCGGTATATGTGGAGGACGCTACTGGGGAGTTCGAGGCAGTCTCCCTTCAGAAATAACGGAGGGCAGAAGAGCAGTGTTTACAACAACGAGCGGAGAGCCGTGCGGCTAATGCGCAGTTAACCGTCGGTCAACCGATGGCACTCGGGTCTGTTCCGTGACCTCCTGCTGCCTTGGACAGCAGGCCAATGACACTTAACATTGCCTCAAAGCACACCTAGCATGGCACAAGCGCGTGGTGATGTCACCGCCGCTGAGTGGTGAACGGTGGTTGTTATGACTGTGTGTGTGGATGTATGGCGGTGTGTTTGTGTGGGGAGTGGTAGTGTAGCGCGCTGCGCTACGATCCCGGCAACCTGGGTTAGATTCCCGTTCACGGCCAACACCGGTGACTATTATCTGAAACGGTCCTCGGCTTCCCCTAGGTCGACTCAGCCTCCAATGAGTACCTGGTGCAGTGTGCAAACATCGTCACTGGGGAGACAAAAGCGGCCGGGCGCGGTTCTGACCACCCACCCCCTCGTGTGCCGTGCTGGCCTTCATGAATGCTTGCTGACAGCACTTGCCCCAATAGTCTGTTAAGGCTATAGGGGACATATTTGTTATTGGATGGATGTATGGGTGTGTATATTATGGCTTTCATCGGTGCTTGCTGACAGAAATTTCTCCAGCAGTCTGTGTCGCCTGCATGGGGGATCTTTGTCTTTTTGTGCATGTGCCTCTCTGTGCGCATCTCTGTGCGTGGACAGAAGGACAATGGTGGCCGATGATCGCGGCTTGGAGTGGAACGCGTTCCAGAGGACGTCCACAGCGGAGATGGGGCGACGGAGAGAGCCCGTGACTGAGCTGTGAATCCACGTGTGGAGTCTGTGCCAAGGGCCCCATCTAGAGGCGCACGGAGGTCATTGCCAATGTGATGCTTGATGCGATACGCGGAATGTGGTGTGTGAAACTAAACTATTTGATATTTTACCAGGTAAGGCCCACGGAGCTAAATAGCTCTTTTTCAGAAGCGACCTGGCCTCAAATGGTAGCTCAACAGAGGCGGTGGAATTTCATAGCAGCCAAATATCCTAAATGTGGAGGGAAACATCTGAGGACCCGGAGGACAAATCCGCGTGAGCACTGTGAGAGAGAACGTGCAAACTCAAATATACAGCAGGTGTCAGCTTCGGGATGGAACCCACGAGCACCTGTATACCAGGCGAGGTAGTTAACATTTCACAACCGTGGCCAAAGGTGGCCGGTTGCGGCCTTTGTAGGTGCTACTTGCCAGCAGCACTTGGGCCTAACAGTCTTAAGGCTATACAGGGGATCTTTGTTTTGACCTGCAGTGTGGTGGTCGAGTGGGCGGTTGTTGTGGTGGACAAACGCGGCGCGATCGACACCAGCGTCGCGCTGACCGAGTCCTCGACATGGGAGGAGGAATTGAGCGAAGTTAACGGGAGCCGTATTCGTGGTAGTAGCCATTGTCGAGTAACGAGGCGACTAACCGCCAATGTTTGAAAATAAAACGGCTTGAGTACGATTTGGCTCCGTGTGGTTGACCCCATGTGTACCGACACGCCACACACGCGTACGTAGCCACAGACGCGTGTTTACCTGGAAGAGCCTCATCGAGTCTCAAGACTCGCGTTCATGATGCCTGCGCAGCGCGACTCACGACCTCCTCTTGATACCAAGATCCAGGATGGTCGTGTCTATGCGCTGCTTCTCGGTGGCAGCCCCAACAGTCTGGAACGATATCCCTCTGCACATTCGCAGCATCACCTCAATCGCCTCCTTCAAGAGAGACTTAAAAACTCACCTCTACAACCACGTGCTTTCGAGCGACTCTGAGCTTGGCTCCGCGCCTCTGAGTTGCAGCCACTACGTCTGCAAATTTGCGCGCGTTATAAATTTAACTATTATTATTATGAGGGTTCTGCCAGTTTTGTCACAGCAGTAGGGGGGGGGGGGGGGGGGGGGGGCTTTGTTTCTGTTGCTGTGAGATCCCGGTTGAGAGATTTGAAAGGAATGTCACCATTGGGGTTGTTGTTTGTCCGATAGCAGTTTCACGAGGTGTGTGGGTTTAGCCATGGGAGTAAACGGGAACCCGGAGGATATCCATGCACAACAGAGAGAGAGAAACATGCAAACACGATGCAGAGGCGCCCGGGTTGGGAGTCAACTCAGGGGCTGCTTGCGGTGTCACCATGGCAGAAGCGTGTACCCACACACACACAGGTGTCGCACACACCTGTACCCACACACACACAGGTGTCGCGCACACCTGTACCCACACACAGGTGTCGCGCACACCTGTACCCACACACACACAGGTGTCATGCACACCTGCACCCACACACCTACAGGTGTCACACACACCTGCACCCACACACACACAGGTGTCACACACACCTGTAACCACACACCTACAGGTGTCACACACCTGTACCCACACACACACACAGGTGTCATGCACACCTGTACCCACACACACACAGGTGTCACACACACCTGTACCCACACACACACAGGTGTCAGACACACCTGTACCCACACACACAGGTGTCACACACACCTCCACACACACACAGGTGTCACACACACCTGTAACCACACACCTACAGGTGTCACACACCTGCACCCACACACCTACAGGTGTCACACACACCTGTACCCACACACCTACAGGTGTCACACACCTGTACCCACACAGGTATCACGCACACCTGTACCCACGCACACCTGTATCCACGCACAGGTGTCATGCACACCTGTACCCACACACACAGGTGTCACGCACACCTTTACCCACACACACAGGTGTCACGCACACCTGTACCCACACACACACAGGTGTCACGCACACCTGTACCCACACACACACAGGTGTCACGCACACCTGTATCCACACACACACAGGTGTCACGAACACCTGTACCCGCACAGGTGTCACGCACACCTGTACCCACACACAGGTGTCACGCACACCTGTACCCACACACAGGTGTCACACACACCTGTACCCACACAGGTGTCACGCACACCTGTACCCACACACAGGTGTCGCGCACACCTGTACACACACACACAGGTGTCGCGCACACCTGTACCCACACACACAGGTATCACACACACCTGTACCCACACAGGTGTCGCGCACATCTGTACCCACACACAGGTGTCACACACACCTGTACCCACACACGCACAGGTTTCACGCACACCTGTACCCACACACGCACAGGTGTCACGCACACCTGTACCCACACACACAGGTTTCACGCACACCTGTACCCACACACAGGTGTCACACACACCTGTACCCACACAGGTGTCACGCACATCTGTACCCACACACACACACAGGTGTCACGCACACCTGTACCCACACACAGGTGTCACACACACCTGTACCCACACACACACACACAGGTGTCACGCACACCTGTACCCACAACACACAGGTGTCACACATACCTGTACCCACACACAGGTGTCACGCACACCTGTACCCACACACGCACAGGTGTCACACACCTGTACCCACACACAGATGTCACACACAGGTGTCACGCACACCTGTACCCACACACACACAGGTGTCATGCACACCTGTACCCACACACAGGTGTCACGCACACCTGTACCCACACACAGGTGTCACACACACCTGTACCCACACACGCACAGGTTTCACGCACACCTGTACCCACACACGCACAGGTGTCACGCACACCTGTACCCACACACACAGGTTTCACGCACACCTGTACCCACACACAGGTGTCACACACACCTGTACCCACACAGGTGTCACGCACATCTGTACCCACACACACACAGGTGTCACGCACACCTGTACCCACTCGCAGGTGTCACGCACACCTGCACCCACACACACACAGGTGTCACGCACACCTGTACCCACACACAGGTGTCACGCACACCTGTACCCACACACAGGTGTCACGCACACCTGCACCCACACACGCACAGGTGTCGCGCACACCTGTACCCACGCACAGGTACCCACACACAGGTGTCACACACCTGTACCCACACACACACAGGTGTCACGCACACCTGTACCCACACACGCACGTGTCTCCGCACATGTACTTGTGTACCCAGGCACACGTGTCACCCACACGTGTACCCAGGCACATGGACGCGTCTACCCGCACACAGGTGGCACTCACACGTGTACCCACACTCACACGTGTGTACCCACACTCACGTGTGTACCCCCACACACACGTATGTACCCACACTCACACGTGTGTAACCACACTCACACGTGTACCCACACTCACACGTGTGTACCCACACACACACGTGTACCCACACTCACGCGTGTACCCACACTCACGTGTGTGTACCCACACACACGCGTGTACCCACACACACGCGTGTACCCACACACACGCGTGTACCCACACTCACGCGTGTGTAGTAAGTATGTAGGAGGCTTACACCAACTTGTGCACACACAGTAATTACGGGTCACTTGGCTACAGGGATACACAACAGCTAACCCCGCTAACCTATGCCCAATTCCTCCACTACGGAGCTAGGGGAGGCTATCTATCCCAGCCCTGGTCAAGCTGGGATCCCGGCTCCCTGAGTCTCCAGACCAGCTTGTCAGTCTGGGCTCTCGGGGCCACGCCACCGGCTTGCCCTGGTCGGCCCTTATAAGGACAGCGAGCCAGGGGAGCTCTGGGGCCTATTCTAGTAGATCTTCCTTCTTCTCTGGTTAAAGCTGAGTTCCCACCCCGAGCCCTCCGGCTCATCACCTTTTATAGGACTCGGCCCCTGGGGGGGCCCGTGGGGGATGCAGGTGCGGACGTCGGTGCGAGCGCCACCCTTGTGTACGGCCGTAACCCCGCCCCTTGTGTTTGTTGGCCATCCGTGGCCATGCACAATTACACCTCAACATCCGTGGCCATGCACAATTACACCTCTACATCACCCCCCCCTGTACAGCTCGCAGCCGTCCCCGGCTGCAAAGAAAATCAGAATAAAGGTGCATCCCTCCCGAAAACCGTGTGTGTGCCTCGCATAATTTTTAACAAGAACAAAGAGAACCATAACAAGAACAACAACAGGAAGAGAGAGAGAGAAAAAAAAATAACCCGACGCACCCCCCCGAATAAACACCCCAAAACCAACATATATACACGCACTCCGGACGCCACCCCCCGCACTGTCCGCAAGGCCCCCCAACGGCCGACCTCACAATAGTCTGCGCGTTTTGGCGCGCGTTCTCGCGGCGGGCCCGTCACAAGGGCCCGTCCCGGCACGCTCAGTGGCGGTTGTTGACGATCCGGGTGCAAGAGAGTCAGGCGTCGCTGCCGAGTGACCCCCGACCCCTCCGGGAGGGGTTGGCGGGCGTGGACCCGTCACTCCTGTTGCACCTGGAGACGGAACAGTTGATGTCAGGTTAGGCGAGAGCAGCGACGTCGGGGAGTCGGCGGAACCCTCACACGTTTGGCCATGCGTGTGTGTGTGTGAACCACGGGGCGGCGCGATGAACGGTTTCAACCTTGAGGGGTGCACGTACCACCGACGCCTCCCCCATTTGACGCGAACACATTGCGGCCGCAAGACCTGTACGACCTCCACTGGCCCCCGCCACGGCCGTACCAACTTTGACGAGGTTGCCAGCGGCACCTGGGGACAGTGCAACCATGCCCTGTCCCCTGGTTTCCATTTGAACACATGTACCCGCCCCAGCCGAAGCCTCTCGTTCGCCCTCTGGCGGAGTTCAGAATTTTGCACGGCCGCTTCCCGCGCCTCAGATAATTTGCTGATGTTAAATTTAACGTGTTCGGACAAGTTAGACTTCGCCTGAGGGGCCGAGAGCTTCAGCTGGGTCGTCACAGGGGGGTCAGCCTCGCGGCCATACATTAAAAAGAAAGGGGAAAATCCGGTGGCCGCATGGGGAGCCATCCTGTAGGCCTGCAACACACCGGCTATGCGAAGGTCCCAATCTGTCTGGGATACCGACACCTGCTGGGACAGCATAGACGTGATGGTCCGATGCAGCCGTTCCACCATCCCGTCAGTTTGTGGGTGATACGGGGAGGTCCGAATTTTCTCCGTACCCAAGAGGTCGCACACCTCGCGGAGGAGTTTTCCCGAAAAATTCTTACCCTGGTCAGTAAGCAGCCGTTCCGGAGCACCCTTGTCGAGGACATAGCCCTGGACAAAGGCCTCCGCGATGGCTGCTGCCGACTGGTTGGCCAGGGGCCAGGCCATAGGCCATCTCGTGAAGTATTCGACCCCTGTCAATAAATACCTATTCCCCCTGGGTGTAGCGGGAAATGGGCCGAGTATGTCTAGAGCAACGAGCTCGTTAACCCGGGAAACCTTTATGGACTGCAGCGGAGGGTTGGACCCCCTAGCAGGTGGCTTCCGCTGCGCGCATTGCGTGCACGACCCCAGGAGATCCCCCACGTCCTTTGCCATGCCCGGCCAGAAGAAATCGAGCTGGAGCGTGGCAAAGGTCTTGTGGACCCCCAAGTGCAGAAGCCGCTCATG